TCCAGGAAAGAGGCTGGTGGGTGGTGCAGGCCCAGGGAAGGAGAGGGAGGTGAGGAGGGCCAGGCCCAGAAGCGGTGCTCCTGGGGACCAGAGAAGGCACTGAGTTGGTCTGGATGCAAAGGATCAGGAAGCAGTGGTGGTTATCCAGGTGTTTGGGGCGCCAAGGCAAGGAAAGGTACAGGACCCAGGCTAGGAGGAGAGACTTGCAGGGCAGATGGGAGGGTGAATGAGGCTGGAGGAGTCAAGGTGAGGAGGGCGCTATGGACTTACCCAGGAGAGAGAGGCCTGTAGGTCAAAAAGAGGCCTCCGGGTTGTGCAAGCCCAGGGAAGCAGAGGCTTATTTTTATTTTTATTTTGTATTTTTTTTTTAGCATTGCCTTAAAAAAAATAACATTATTACACTGAGATTTCTTTTGCATAGATTGGAGAATTTCGAAAGGGAGTGAATGCCAAATTCACATTACAACAACAGTGATAAATTTCACAGTGTTGTTGGTGCTTGATAGTACAGTTTTGTCAATAAATGATACTCAAAAATTATGGTAGACATATAGACTTGTGAATTTACATTCTAAAATACAAATTCATATTTTTAGCTTGAGAATTATATCAGTTTAGTTATTATAGTACTTGTTTAACTTTCCAGACTGCAATTTTTATCTCTAGAAGTTCAATTAGGTATTTTACATTTTCCATAAGGCCCAGGTGAAGGTACACTGGTACTGTAGTAAAATAGCAGAAAAATAATGGAAAACCTATTTTTGTCTGGGAATGGAAGAGGTTCAAGGTCAAGGCCTGGATGCCCAGGACCATGTGTGGAATCAAGACCACAGCTGACCCTCAGGGGAGGTTGGAAATCCATTCCAGAGAATCAGTCCTTCTGACTAGAATTCACATATTGGAGACCCTCCCTGCATCAGCCCTATACAGAGGCAAAGCCTCAGGGGAGGGGATTGTGGGAAATGCCGCCACTCAGAGGAGGCTGAAACTGCTGCCCAACATCGGGAAGGCCTGCAGTCTCCAGTCTGCTCCACCATCAGCCTGTCACTAGGAGAATGTGGAACTGTGGCTCACTGTTGGGGACTAATGCTCGAGTCTCATGTGAGAGGAACACAGCTCCAGGCTCATGGGAGGGGGCCACCACTCTTGCTCACAGGAGGGGACCACAGCTCCAGGTTCATAGGAGGGCACCACAGCTCTGGGTTCACGGGGGGAAAATCACAACTCTGGCTCACAGGAGGGGATAAGAGCTTCAGGTTCACAGGAGCCAGGGGTTTTATTTTAATTATGTGTATATGTGTGCATCTGTATGTGGGTTTGCATACATGAATGCAGTGCCTGTGGAAACAAGAAGGTGTTGGGTCTCCTGGAGTTGGAGTTACAGTCAGGTTAAAGCTTCCTTACTGTTTTTAACCACCGAGTCACTTCTCCAGCCCCTATTTATTTTGGGGGATAAGGTCTCTGGGATATGGACTGGTCTTGAACACACTATGTAGGTGGATCTGTACTTCTGGCCCTTCTGCCTCAGTCTTCTGAGTGCTGGGATGATAGGCAGGAGCCACCGCACCCAGCTAGATCTCCATTTCTTTTGTTTGAACCCTGGAGATTTGTTTTTCCCTCTCCAAGTGTCATATTTCCACGATTCTTCACATTCCTTGTAGTTTTTGTGCATTTGAAGAAGAGTCACTGTTATTTTTTTAGTCTTTACCAAATGACTTTGATGGGGAAAATCTTCACTAATCAAATTTTGGGGGCTTCTCAAGTCTTTTCTGTGGGAATGTATGTCCCCCCTTGTACCTACTTTTGAGGTAGAATTTTCTGAGTTGTTTGTCTTCTTTCAGTTTTGTAGACTTGTGTTCATCACTGCAGGCCATCCATTTCTTTCCTTTAGAACAGTGCCCTGGAAGATCAGGGTGTCTGATACATTTCCTCTCAAGGAAATGTGTCAGGGTTGTGATTTCTTCAATGCTTTCACATCACTTCCAGTTGTGGCAAGCCTCTGACCCTTCTCTTTGTTCGCAGCTGCCCTTCTGCATTCAAATTCTGCCAGTTCTTTTAAAGCTCTGGGTGAAGCAGAACTCAAGCTGGTCCCTCAAGCAGCATGCTTTAATGCCAGGGTCGCCTGAACAAGAAGGCTGACACTTAAATTTAGTTTAGTTTTTTAAAAGTTTGCTTTTGTTGAATTTTTTGTGTCTTTCATATAGAACATCTCAATCAATCTTAATCATCTTTATACCCCTGTCCCCAGTGGCATCCTTCCATACCCCCCCACCCCCAATGAAGTCCATATATTCTGTCATCCCTGTTAAGGCCCACTGTATCAAGTCAGTGTCCCCAGCTGTTCCCCAGTGCTAGTCCATCCACTGAGTCTAGTCAGCCTATCTAGAGTTCCTTGTTTTAGGAGGATCAGCTCTTCTTCATGTAGCAGGGATCAGTTGCCAATATTTGTTCAGGTAAGATTGGGTCCTGCTGCTCATTTTCCCAGCTCTATCCTGGGTTTTTGTCTGCTTGAGTTTGCTTGGGACTTATGTATGCTGACACCATTGCCATAGAATCAGATGAGCAGGTTCCCAGGAGCTTGTAGGACTCTCTTTCCATATGGTCGTGTGCCTCCTCCCTGGCTCTTACAGTCTCTCAGGCCCCTCTTCCATAAGGCCTTGAGTGAGTGAAGTCTAATAAAGTAGTCCTATCCAAGGACCAGCATTCAGCAAACTCTTGATCTCTATGCTTTAGCCATTTGTGACCTTCTGTGTTCCTGGCCCTCCACTGCATGAGGGAGCTTCATTAATGAAAATCGAGAAATTCATTAGTGTCCTCTTCTTTACACCTGTTCTATGTTGTAGAGGTTGCATTGTAGATGTGTCACTTAAGCCTGGGCAATTCATAGATAATGTCTGTGTGTGGCCAGTTGTAGTACTTGGTAATAGTCTCCAAATGTTGCAAAATGAGCTCTTTGATGAGTGGTGACTGGGATATTTGTCTGTAAATATAAGGATACATATTTTGTACATAATAAGAAATCACATTAATCTAGCGATGTGATAGTCTTGGGCTTTTCTCTAAGATCTATAACCTCTCTGGCCGTATGTATTTGGTTATGCTTACAGTACCACACTTGAGTTTTTTTTTCATTGAGTGAGACTTTAGTCCAATTAGGTAGCTGTTGATTGCCTCCAAGATAAAAGTGCCATTACTGCACCAATGTCCTATGCTGTGCCTGCCACTGATGTGGTTATTTGGTTTTGAAACTGGTGTTGGACCATAGATTGGTGCTGTCACTTGGCCCTTTCACAGCACTATTCAAAGCTATGAGAGCTAGCCTTCAGGGTAGGTGGTTTAAGGTCAATTCCAGCTCTATTGCTCCAAATCCTGTGTCCAAAGTATGTTCTGTCTTCAGCAGTAGGGTCTTACCTTCAAGTTCTGGGAGGCAGTCAAGGGCTGCAGCAATAGCCTGAGTAATTTTGGGAGTCTCTTGGACTACCCTGGTCAATAACTCAAAGGAAGGTTTCTCCTGTCTGGCACTGTTTCTTGTTATGTAGCATTTAGCTATACAGGTGGACTCATATAGAGATAATGTGTGTGAGAGAGAGGAGAAATAAATAATGCTTAGCTAGTTTTAAAAAGCCAGAGGGAATCTTATTAGTCACACAATCTAATGACAAATTACACATAAATTTGGTTTTTAAGAGTGTGCCCAAACTCAGAGACACACGTTCCCCCAGACATCTCTTGGAACCGTCTGTCTGCTGGAACTGCGCTGATGGAATTGTCTCTGGAACTTCTTTCTAGAACTGTGTTCCTGAGTCAGGTCCCACCCATAGTTTTATTCAAAATGATTTTTAAGGTTTTAATTGGGGAAGTACAAGTTTGGCTCCACCCTAATCTTAACAGACCATCCAGCCTTTTCATCCCTAGTTCTAGAATATCCATTAACTCAAGGTCAGTAGTCCTTTCTAACCTCCACTGTGTGCAGTGGAGATGGATGTCCACCCTTTCAGTGCTTTAATATGTTAATTCTCAAGCACAACCACATTCAGTCATTCATTATCTTTTTTGGGTGGAGTACTAAATGGAGGTTGCCCAGGAAACAAGATCAAGTGCCAGATCACAAGACACCAGAGCACATGGTTTTTCTGGGGTTAATTAAAAGTCATTAGTTCGGATTATGTTCATTTATAAAAACCATTCCTACAGGGGTGCATGCCCCTCTCCATGCTCTTCTCCTGGGGGGAGACGTCACAGTCTGAAGTGGACTCTTGACAGTGAGCTCTGCTAACCAGACCAGGGTCTTTCATGGAACTCTTCCCAACAATTTCAATGTACATTCAATGTGCATCATCTCAGTCTTCTGTTGGTGTCGGGCATGGCAGTTTCTTCACCAGGAATCCTCTCATGCAAGAGTTTTGGTCTGAGTATCATTGTAATTTACATTCAGTGTTTCTGTTGGGGAGCAGGGGCTGGGACTTCCCATTCCACCATCGTGTTGATGTCACTCTTGCTTCCACTTTCTGCTGTCAAGGGCCAAAAGCAACACACACACACACACACACACACACACACACACACACACCCCAAAACAAACATCAAGAGTTCTAAGGAGGGTTAAGCCTACTGGTTAGAATAGAGAAAAACTGTATTTTATCTTCCAATCAAGAGAAATTAAGAAAGTGAAGAAGGTTGGAGAGATGGTTTAGCCATTAAAATCTTAGGCTCACAACCTAATCTTTAAGAAAGAAGAGAACTCAGATGTGAAGAGAGAGAGAGAAAAACAAAAAACAGAAGAGGGGGAGACAAAGCAGGGAGAATAAAAAATATTCTCTTGTGGAGATTTCTGATCGTGAATATAACATATTGTTTTATTTTTATACAAAAATGTCTTTGAAGTAGAATCTGAGTAATATATCAACTGTGTATTTCACTGAACTGAGTGAAAGGGATAACATAGATTCTTTGGCCAATTTTAAATCTCTGGCAGAAGCGAATTTTTTTTTTTTTTTTCTTGGTGCCTGTGACCAAATTTATCCCTGAGCCGAGGCAAGGGGTACAGGGCCTGTGAATCACAATATTTCTATGGCAGCCTCTTGGGTCAGTGCCTGTCATCAGTAGTGTGGGCACTGAATTTGACATGGCTACAGGAGCAAAGTTTTGAATTATGTGAAAGTTCATTTGTTCCATAGATTGAAGGAACCCCCCCCTCCATTTAATGTTTCAGAGACAATCAGACTGAAATACACTTAGTGGTCATGAACTCTTAAAATGGATGCTGCCTCATTTTCATCTGTTAAAACAGCAAAGCGTTTAGTCTCGTCTGATTTACTTTGTCTGGATAACGTTAAGATCATACATGTAACTGAAATAGTTGATAAACATGGAATGTGCCACACAAATGTCTGTATTTCTGGAGTGTAATTCAGTGGTCATGCATGAGGAAAGTCCTATAGATTTTGATATTAACTAATTTATGTAGAAAACTGTGCTGATAAAATAATCAATTTCAGAGTATTATAATGTCACTTTTTAAATTTTTTACTTTATTTTATGTGTATGTGTGTATTGCCTCCATGTAGGTATGTGCACTCGTGTTGTGCAATGCCCGTGGAGGTCAGAAGAGGCTGTCGGATCACCTGGGACTGGAGTTACAGGCAGTTGTTAGCTGCCATGTGGATGCTGGGATTCGAGCCTGGGTCTTCTGCAAGAACAGTCAGTATTCTTAACCGCTGAGGCATCCCTCCAGCCCCTATAATGTCACTTTTTTGGGTATACATTCATTATACATAGCAATGGGCATCATGAAGACTTTTCCACACTTGCATATACCTTGACCATATTCATACCATACCTTCCCGTTTCTACACCTCCCCCTTCCTGTTCATCTCTTTCATTCCCCGTCACAATTGCTTCTATCATGACATACATTCCTAAATGATTTTATATATGTACAAAAGTATGATCCACAAGTGAGAAAGAGCATGCCACACTTGTCTCGGTCTGACTTATTTCCTTAATAGGATGATCTCCGGTTGAATCAATTTTCCTACAAACAACATAATTTTGTTCTTTATGGCTGAATTGAGCTCCATTGTTCATTTGTGTAACACACTTTCTGTATGTGCTCATCTGTATGTCCCTGGTTACATAACTTGGCTATTGTGAATAGTGGTGCAATAAAAAGGTGCGTGTGAGTAGCTATGTGGTATGTTGACTCAGAGTCCTTTGGGTGCGTATGCAGAAGTACAGCTGAGTCATATGATGGTTTTAAGTTTTAGTTGTTTGAGGAACCTCCATACTACAGTCCCTAGTGGCTGCATTAACCCATCAAAAGTGTGTAAGGGTCCCGTTTTCCTAGTCATTCTGACTGGGATGAATGGAATCTCAACATAATTTTATTCTCCATTTCCTTGATAACTAAAGTATGATGAGCATGTTTATTGGTCGTTTGTACTTCATCTTTTCAGAATTATCTGTACATTTCATTAGCTGATTTATTCATTAGATTGTTTGATTTTCTGGTGTCTAGTTTTGTAAGTGACATATGTATGAGATATTGACCCTCTATCAGATGTATAGGGAGCAATGATTTTCTCCCATTCTCGAGGCTGACTCTTCCTTCATTCAACTGATTGTTTCCTTTGCTGTGCAGAAGCTTTTTAATTTCATGCAACCACAGTTTTCAATTCTTGCTTTTATTTCTTGAGTAATTGGAAATATTTTCAGAAAGTTCTTGCCTCTATCTTGAAGTGTTTCCTCCTAATAGTTTCAGATTTTCAGGGCTCATATTAAGATTTTTGGTCTGTTTTTAGTTGAGTTTTCTACAGGATGAGTTGTCGATCTAGAATGGCTGCTGATGTCTCTTGTCCCTGACTTGCCAGGTCTTATTCCTAGAAGCTTTCTTCCATGTCCTTAGCCTCTTTCTGCCTCAGTGCACTTTAGTACATGTCTTATGTCATTTTCTTCTCATTTTTTTTGTGTTTGTATTTATTGTATTTAATGATTTCACACACAAAATATTCCAAAAATATTTATCTTGATTTATTTCATAATATTTAAATTAAGAACCTTTGGTGCCATTAACATTGTTGAAACACTTTGAGGGAACATTATGACAGAAAAGGACTCTATAATGCTTGTTAAGGAATCCCAAAACAGAATATGTTGGGATTAATGTAACTGAATTCCAAAGTGGTACAGCTCTGATACTGGCACTCTTTCCTAAATTAAGATAATTCTTATAAGAAAATTAAAAATTAACACAATTCTGATCCCAGGAAATATACATCTCTGATTTTGGCAAATGAGAGCATGGTTAGCCCAAATAATGAATTAATTAATCAAATTATAGTTTCCTGCTATCAAGTACACATGACTACTAGATATGAGTATTTAAATTTCAAAAAGCAAAGTATTTTAGTGACTTTCTTCAGTAAAGATATTTGTAAAGAGAATATATTGGTTGTGTGAAAGGGGGCACTTAGTAGCTTTAAATAAAGTTTTTGTCATAAATATGTGAAATGATTACCAAATATCTATCCAATTCTTGCTGATTGTGCCCATTTGTTTCCAAACTCCTTTCTTTAGTTAGGAGTAAAATTTACCCCAAATTATAAATTCCAAATCAATAGCATGTGAATTGAGGGAAATCTAGCCAAGCTCATTTCAGAGTTTACATACACATAAACTGGGAAAAAGTCACACGTCATAACTCAAAATCAGTCACACTCACTTTCAAAAATATTTCCATTAAGAAGGAATAAAAATGCAATTCCTTGGGATGACTACTGCCTCAAGTTAAAGAACTCTATTCTTCTCTAGTATTGTGGATTGTGCTTATAAAAATAAACTTATAGATCCAAGGTGTCATTGTTTCTGTTTCACATAGAGTAACTTGGATCAACCAGCTGATGCGTCTTGCATAGGTTGGGTGTGCATAAACTTTCTTGAACTCCAGTTTTCTCTAAACTTCAAAGCTTCTTGCTTTTGAATCCTGTTTACTTTCAACAAAACGTGACTACTTTCTTCAAAGTAAACAAGCAGGCTATAAAAAGCCTCATAAGTCATCTTGGGATTTAGAAAACTCTTACCAAACAAAAACCCTAATGGGTTCAGTGTTCATGATTCAAAAACATACAGATTGAATTTCCCTTAAAATATACATGAGCTTAAAAGTGAAGGGTGAAAGTGGTTGGCCAATTGTACTTGAGGTTTTGTGGGAGCTGAGACCTTGAGAAAGGTCCTGAGATGCCTTTCCATCCTTAGCTTCAACCAGGTTTTCCAGGGTAGCATGAGTTCCATAGCGTAACAGTTGATGTGCATACATACCTTGAAGTGTCCCCATGCGTGCTGCACAAGCATCAGTAAATATCAAGGGAAAGTTGGTGATATACAGTCTAGATAATTGCTTCCTTTTCATGAAAATATCAACAAACATCATTTATTGCTCAAGATAGAAGTGCATGATCTTTGATTCTGTTGTAAGCATAATAAAATTATGACCTCTAGTAAGCTAATCTGATGCAGGTGATATGTTTCATTAGTTTAGGGAATTTTCCACTGTCATATATCTATTATCTTTCTCTTTTGAAGCAGAAATGCATATAAATATTCCATTTGCCCAGACTATAGGCACCACCTTATTCTTTGATTGTGAGTTTATATTTCTCCTCAATAGTATACTGGTAAGGTATTGAGACAAATTTTGGTAAGTGACCTGTGAAACTGATCACATCTTTTTTTGAAATAAGGTCTTGCCATGTAGACTAGGCTGGCCTGTAACACACTATGTAGCTCAGAATGACCTTGAACTTGCGATCCTTCTGCCTTGGACTTCTATGTTGATCATAATTTTTATGGGCATTCTTAGTTTATCTTGGAGCTGATGTGAAGAACCGTGTAGCATACGTAGTGTGTGTATATGCTAATTATAATTCCTAATGTTAAGATGAGATCACTCAGTTAAATGAAATGTTTAATGTGGTAATGGTTGTTTTCATTCTGTAAACATTGCTTGCAAGATGATACTTAGTTTGGAATAGAATTGTTAAAAGAATGCACTGAACAAACCCTCTCTGGATGTGACATAGGATGCACATATTCAGTCCAATAGGACACAAAGGAAGTCCAGGATGCTGGATCAGAAAAGCTGTGTGTGAGCTCTCCCTGGAGTCTCCTGGCTGATCATGAGGTGAGGACCAGAAACACTGTATCCAAGGGAGCAGGGATAATTTAACCTTTCTTTCTCATTGTTCAGCTGCTTAATTCTATAGCTTTGTGGTTTCAAGTCTAGAAAGTCTTGACCTATGAAATTCAAACGAGGTGTTTAGAAACACATTTTGAAAGAAATTAAGTTTTAAGATGAGATGCGTCATCTGCAATGGAATTTCTGTATAATTGAGGATGAGCTAGGTGAAAATTTCTTTTCAAAGTTTCTTGCAGCTTCACACATTTGAGAAAAAACTGAAAACAATTTTAAGGATCTGGAGAGAGACAAGAGATATTTTCATACAAAACAAGTCTAGAAAACTTCTGCACATAACCAGGTATACCAGGTGCTGAGATATAAACACAATCCTCATGTCTCTGTGTTGTAACACAACTAATGTTTATTTTCTACCCCTTTTGTGGACTGTCTGAGGATTATACCCCCACACAGCCTTTACCCTTACTCTGTACCTAGGCTGCACTTACAGGCCATCATAGCAGGAGGAAACAAAGAAGTTGCTACACACACGAAAAATACAGACACAGACATAGACACACAGACACACAGAAACACACACACACACACACACACACACACACACACACACACACACAGTTTGGTCTGCTCAAATTTTGAATCACAGGGCCACAATGCAGGAGGTGCAGTTTTACATGTGACCAGAAGGGGGAGCTGGGAAAGTTATGAACCACCCCAAATGGTCAGGACACATTTATAGATTTATAATCTATGAAAACTGGCTTAATTTTTCACCATCGTATTTATTTACTCATTGTTTTATGTCTCCAAAATATGTTATATGAGAAGTGAGAGACTTAGGCTCTTGGAGAGTATGTGTTATCCTCAGATAGGCAGAGAGTCATGGCTCCTCACAAATAATGGGGTAGTTGACCAGAGAAAGCCATTTTCAGAAATGGAAA